AGTGGGTACACCCATGAACTGTTGAAATACAGACCTGTGTTCAAATCCAGATGATGAAACTTGATGAGTAAAACCCAAATATTTCTGATTTACCTAAGCCCGGTTGGCCCGTGACTGTTCCGCGACCGTTTTGTCCTGCGGGACACCCGTTAAAGTTGAAACGATACTGAGAAGATTAGCATGGCCCCTGCGCGAGGATGGCATGTATAAAATCGGGAGGGGCTCGACTGTTCCTTTCGTTGCCACACGCAACGTCGGGGTGCTACTTTGCCACCTCTCGACCGGTACGAGCGCTAAGTGTTGCGCTGGTCGAAAAAGACAAGGAGGAGGAGCAGGGAGTTGACGAGGGAGAAGTGAAAATCGGAGGAGAACTCGTTGTTGCTCGCAATGCGCTCCTCGTCATGGTCACTTTGCTTATTCATGGAGGTTACGTTGCCATTTCCCCGCTGCTCGTCACCATCCCGCCGGCTGTCCTCTTCTCACTCATAGGTGCCTGTTCGTACTATGCCACTAGGACCGTATGAACCAAGCCAAGACGTCGTCCAGGTACATTGGGAGGGAGATTTGAAGGTGGCAGAGGAGAGTCGTAGTCCGCAAGCGGGGAGTGGCTCGCGCATCTCGGGACAAGCTTAGATGCGGACGGAGTGAACCTGGGCACTTAGTTGCACCGGGTACATCCAAAAGTGAAACGCGGGAGCTAAGGAAAAGAAAAGTGGAAGTTGCCGAATCACAGTCAATTCTTGACCAATTTCGGCAAATGGAGATTCTACACTGCGGTTTTGAGGCATTGCGGATCGTTTGGCCGCACCGGATTTCGCTTTTGAGCAGCGGCTTGGTCGGTACGGGCTGCAGAGGCTGAGCGAGGCAGGGCTGATGACGGGCGGAATCAGAAGAGTAGCAAGAGAGGGAGATCGGAAGGTTGGGGGAGCTAGGACGGGAGAACACTTACCTTGAGATAAAGACAGATGCATCCGTCCATGTTCCAAGGGAAGATTCACTCTCATTTGACACATCGGTAAGTAACAGAGCCGGGGCGCCTTGTCATCATGAAGCTCGTGGCGATTGGATCCACCTACCTGCTCGTTACCCCTTTGTCGTTGAAGATCCGGTGGCGATCTTGTTTTGAATCGAGAACCTTTAGTAGCAGCGTTGATTGTCGTAGCAGCTGCTTCCATCAAGGTGCTTGACGAAGTCGCCATGATCTTCCTCGTTCATGCGATCGCCGTGCTCGGGGTTATTCCGGTGATAGCGTATTTACCACATTGCATGGGCTACTCCTTGAAGACGTGCACGTGCGCATAGGCATGAGAAAGGAAAAGAAAATAGTGCTTACCTGGACGTACCTTCCCATGTTCCTGAGAAAGATTCATTCTTGATTCAGGCAAAGAAGGAGGGCCAGCGGGGGTTGAGAGAGAGAGAGAGAGAGAGAGAGAGAGAGAGAGAGAGAGAGAGGGAGAGAGAGAGAGAGAGAGAGAGAGAGAGAGAGAGGAGGCCAATGCGCTTACCTCGGATGTTGCCAATGCCGAAGTGGACAGAGAGTCGAGTGCACGGAGGAGGAGTGGCAGAGGCATGGCATATGTATCT